CCGGGTAAGCCCCCTCTCCCATTCCCCTCCCCCCCCCCCCGCCCCTTCTCTCCTCCTCCTCCCCCTGCCTCGTCCTCTTCGTCCTCCTCCTCTTCTTACTTCTTTTTCTCCTTCTACTTCTCCTCCTCTTTCTTCTCTTCTTTTTCATCTTCTTCTTCCTCCTCCCTCTCCTCCTCCGCCCCTGCCCCATTGATGTGTTATTATTGGGGGGGCTGGAGCAGTAAAAAAAGAAGAAGGAAAAAAAGAGCGGGGCTCAGCAGGGAGAGGTTGAGCGCGGGGCTGACCGGAGGCGGCGGCGATGGAAGAACTTACGGCGTTCGTCTCCAAGTCTTTCGACCAGAAAGTGAAGGAGAAGAAGGAGGCCATCACGTACCGGGAGGTGCTGGAGAGCGGGCCCCTGCGCGGAGCTAAGGAGCCGTGGAGGAGGCGGAGGAGGTGCAGGAGGAGGAGGAGCAGGCGGCGGAGCTGGAGGAGGGCGCTCTCCCGTCCGGGAGCTGGACATGGGCGCCGCGGAGAGGAGCAGAGAGCCCGGCAGCCCGCGGCTTACCGAGGGTAACGTCCGACCCCGGCCGGCAGCGGTTCCCCTGCCCGCCTTCTCCTCTCCTCGCCGGCGGGAGCGGATTCTGAGGCCCAGCAGGGAGGGTCCGGACGCAGAGAGGGGCCTGGACCTCAGCTCTGCAAACTAGAGGGGTCGTGGAGGGGTGGGGGCCCGTGGTGCACGGCCGTGGGTGGGGTCCTAGTGTGGGGGAAGGCGTGGGAGGTTCGGCCGTGGGTGGGGTCCTAGTGTGGGGGAAGGCGTGGGAGATCTGTGCGCATCCTTCCCGTGTGCTCCCATTGCACAGAAACGCGTTTTTCACCAGCTGGGTCTTGGGCCCACAGCCCGGACGGCGCGCGGCCGGACGTGGAAGTTCGCAGGGTCTGGCTGCGGGGAGGGCGGTAGTGCTGGGCTGCGGCTGGACCCCGGGCCAGACTAAAGCTAACGTCTAGGCTCGAGTCAGCGGGAACCTCTTCCTTGGGCTTCAGGGAGGGTGCGAGAGAGAGAGGGAAGGCAGGAGAGAGAAAGTGAGGGAGAGACTGACGGACTGACACTGACTTCATCCTAATTCGCCCCTGCTTTCGGAGCTGCCCTTGAAACATTTCAAACTCCGCGAAAGATTCTGAATCTCTGGATCTTAGGGACCCAAACTTCCCACTCCTTTTGAAGTATGAAGGCAGAGCGAAGGCAAGGCAAGCTAAGGGCCAGGCTTCCTTGTGTTTTCCCGGCTAAGACGTCTAGGCTTCTATTCAGGGATTGGGGATGGATGCTGGGTTTTTTTTTTTGCTTGTTTGTTTTTAATATTTACACATTTCCTTTACTGCTTCCAATGATCTATTATTCTGGTCGTGTGTGTGTGTGTGTGTGTGTGTGTGTGTGTGTGTGAGAGAGAGAGAGAGAGAGGAGGAAGAGAGGATGGGGTGCTTCTTTGGTGCCAGCCAAGAATTAGTTAGGAAATGGCTTTATCTAAATGGTCGAGTGTCCTGTACCAATTCAAAGGAGTTCAACAATAAAATTAATTTGGCACTTGGTGCTGCAGTAAGTGTTGTACTGCCATATTTTTCCAATTAAGAAAATATGTGACATGCGTAGAATCACATATTTAAGCAAGCAATTAAGTTGTTTATAACACGGTCTGTTCTTGTTTAGCCCATTAAGTGAAAATTTGGGGATGAAATCGAAATTATATTAAGTCTGTTAATCAACTTGAAATTTAGACTTTTCTCGTTGATGCCCCCAAACTTCAAGGGCTTGAACTGTGTGAATGACAAAACATAGATAGACAAAGCCTTCCCACCCTTTTTGCAGAATCAAAGTGTACATTTTCTGGTTGAAATGTCGCTACACTATCAGTGGGAATGTTTTCCTACTAAAATGACCTGTCATGTTTATTATAATGCTATCTACTTCACTCCTGGACAAAAGACAAATGTCCAGAAAACGAACTCTGATAACTTGAAAATAGTGCAGCACTTAAAAGATTACCTTAGCCAGAATGCCAGACTGATTGGAGATCTGCAGAGTCTTCACCTAGGTCCCATACCACATTCTCCTAAATTTGAAAAGTGATAAGCTTACAGTCAGGAAGGCCCAGTGCAGTGTCCCAACCTTGGGTTCACCTTTCCAGGCTCTCGGTTTACCCGTTCGTCGGATGGCATAGTTCAAGTCTGAAAGCTGGGCAGGCACGGTTCCTGGTATTGTTGATTTTCAAACTCAGGGCAGGTTTTAATTTCTCTGTAGACTGACTCTTTTGGGAAGGATTTTTAAATACCCACGTTGATCAAGATCCAGGGTTAGAAAGAACTGCAGACAGCCTCGACTACATAAACTCAGCACAGGTAGTTTAAATATCTGAGTCTCCGTGTCTGACACAGAAGATGAAGGATCGGGGATAGGGCTGTCTCCCCTGATCACTGTCCCTGGCCGAGGTGTAGATATTAACATCTATTCGATGACCCCCTCACTGGCTGGCTGAATGCTCATCTTGCCGAACTCCTGTTTTTAGAGGGAAGAGAACAGCAAAGCAACAACGGATGTGCGAACACAGAGCAGAGAAAAATGCATATTTTATTAAACATTCGAGCTGCTGGGTGCATGAAAAGGCTTTAAGCAACCAATAGAAACCGAGGACTGGGAATGTTCTCTTGAACCTGTTGATCTCTGTGGGTTTAAGCTTTTTAGGGTTGAGTCTGCCTTTCCACCAGGGAGGGAGAAAGGCAGAACCGAAGCAGCCCTGGGTTTCTCGGACCACCCGCAGCTGCTTTTCTTTTTTTGCCTTTTGGCCCTGAGTGGGAGGCGAGCCCTCCAGGCTGCCAACATGGCGTGGGCACCTTTGCTCAAGCGACTTGGGTCGGGCAGTGGGGACGGAAACTGTCTGGCTGCCCAGGATACCATCGCTAGAGTCTAACCCGAACCCTGGGGCAATGCGGTCACCGGGATGCGGCTTCCAGAGCAGTGCGGCACCGGTGTCTTGCTCCCCGCTGCGACCCTTCGGCCCACTTGTTTCTAAATTAGATCAGCAAGTTTATGGGAGTCAAAGGACCAGAGGCATTGAGAGGCCGCCTAACAAGGGGCCAGCCCGCTGGTAATGGCTGGCGTGAAAGGCCAGTGAGTGGCCTCTCCGCGCCCTTCTACCAAGACCGCGCTTTGGGAGAGGCCGGGCTCGGCGCTTGTGATTTCTGTGAGTGCGTGGGAGAGAGTGAGAGCGAGAGAAGCTGGGTGAAATGTATTTGGTGTTCGCAAGGGAGGGCAGGGGGCCTTGGGGTGGGAAACGAAGCGACGGGCTGAGGCGTGGGTGGCCATGTGTCCACCTTGGCCCACCGGCGGCCATGCAGGCATGACCTTTGCCTATCTTCAGAAGCTTTCTCATCCTTGTGGGGTGAGGGGCTGGATCAGATTCTGCGAGGGGGTAGGATCTTCTGCCTTTCTTGAGACAAATCTAGTAACTAGATTTGCTGTGCTGTTTTTGTCCGTGCGTGTGTGTGTGTGTGTGTGTGTGTGCGCGTACATGGATGCACGCGTGGGTCCGGCCCGTGGTACCCCGCTCCAGTGTCCCCGGAGTTGAAGGATCGCAAAGAGGATGCGAAAGGGATGGAGGACGAAGGCCAGACCAAAATCAAGCAGAGACGAAGTCGGACCAATTTCACCCTGGAACAACTCAACGAGCTGGAGAGGCTCTTTGACGAGACCCACTATCCAGACGCCTTCATGCGCGAAGAACTGAGCCAGCGGCTGGGGCTGTCAGAGGCCCGAGTGCAGGTACCAGACTTTGAGGAGGTCGAGGGTGGGCCCCGGGCGCGAAGACCCATACACCCGGGGTTGGGAGGCAGCTCGATTCAAGTGCCGGGTGTGGAATGGGAAGGGGCGGGATATTTTTACTATAGGTCTTATTTTGTAAAGTAGATGTTAGTCCTATAACCCCAAACCCAACATATGTTCGAAGCAGCAGAAAGCAGTGCTGGGCTTGCTCCCAGGGTTTCTATAAACCACACCCCCCTGGCCTCGAGCTGGCTTTAATGTGGTTTAATCCTAATGGGCCTACTTTTATAAGCCTTAAAAAAAAATCCCACAGAAAACCTTTTATCTCTGGATGCCTTAAAAGTTACAAGTATTTTGCTTGCCCGAATTGGGTTTCATTGAGAGTCTGCTCTGGGCTCTAGGTTTGCCAACCGGATATGCCCATTAGGTTTATAGATGTACAGGCTATAAAGAAAATTAGCAACTGTTAAGTGCAGAAATTTACAGTCCACTGTTAGCGCTTGATATCAAACTGTGTGTAAAACAGCAGCAAAATGAATGTGTTTTGGTCACTCTTTGTTCACTTAACCAAGGCAATGAACCTGGAACTTAATTTTAAAACAACCCACATATCTTAATAGTGACATTTTCAATTCCTGATTCCCAGCAAATGTCACACACCATGAAGTTAAGATTACAGCATATTTTCTTTATTGGTTGTTGAGGTGAATGTAATAGCAAAAGTAGGCTTTGGGGCCATTAAGGAGGAAAATTATACACATACGTGTATAGACATCCTTCCAGTTTTATGGGGAACAAATTTAAAGGTTTCAAATTGTATTTCCGCTCAAATAATAAAATAGGAGAAAATGATGGTCATTATTTGTTTGAACACACGGAGCAGTTTTAGGCTGGAACATCTGCAGCTGTTTCAAAGTATCGCTGTAACAGATACTCCCTGGGTCTCTGGTCACAGAGACCACCATCTGTACCGAACTATGCACAATTCTTATGGGGCTTCTCCGCATCTTGTAATAGGATCAGGGCAAAAAACAGCAGTAATGTTGAAGGAGAAAAGTAATAATAGGCCGCCTTGGTCATCACAGCGTCAACAACAGAGCCTTCCTTTTAAAGCTTCTCCTGATTTGCTCTGTGCTCTGAGCTCTCCAGGGGCACAGCAGCTCCTTGAAACCATGATAATTATTACAGTTATAAGTAATAGTATCTCAATCCAGCTCTTCTAGGAGAAAAAAGAGTCAAGAAGCCTCAGGCCATGTGAGTTACACAAAGGATGCCACCCTGGCATAAGATCCATCCTTCTATTATACTAAATAGCAGGGAAATTTTTGAAGATACACATTGACTATGGCACTTGCTTTTAAAAACATACCAGAGAAAGCTCTAAAGCAATATTTTCCTTTCATGGGGTTTTAAACCTTAATTTGTAAATCAATCAATATGCTGTACTATTGGAGCTGGAGTATAAAAGCAAGCTTTACTTGATTTAAAAAAATCTGTCATACTCATCTAAAAGTTTGCAAATTATTTAAAAGGATAAAAAGAAGATAATAGCCAGGAGTCACTTGATTCATACCCCGATCTCCTTTCCTAATGTACTCTTCTTTTTGTCTCAAGAAGTTAACTTTATTTGGGCCTTTATTTTTTTCACACTTTTATTTAAGTTTTAGAGCTATTCTCTAGAACCATCCCTTCTGTCCTCACTGAAAACAGTGGCTTTTTCTATAGGAACAAATTAGATTATCATGATAATAGCACAATTATTCAGCTACTGTGTTACACTCTGCTGCACAGAGGAACAGAGAAATTCTAAACTTCTTTGTAGTGAGGCTTTTATGACACTAATTACCTCTCTCCCCTTACAAGCTCCTCCCCCCACAGAGTCACTATTTGCTTTAGTGTTTGGTTTTTCCTCAAGATGAGCTAATTAATATTATAGGCTATTACTGAGTCCATTCTTCTCAGGTCTTAACTGGGCAAACATTTATATCCATTATGACACTGGTGTCAGGTATGAGAGAGAGTTTCAGGCCTTCGGGACTTCGTTGCATGGAAAGATGAAGCCAGGACTAATACTGGTTTATCAAGGAACAATTTTTATTTTGTAAAAGTTTTTGAAATCTATCTTTGTACTTCATTTACATTTTTAGCTTGGAAACAAGGCTGTTTTATATAATTGAAAGACTGCTTATTGTATCTTTCAGCCTTGCCTAAAGCACTACTCTTTTTATTGAATGCTTACAGTTTAAAACATTTTTTAGTCATAACATCTAGGTTTTTTTTCTCCCCTTCAATTGTAGGTTTGGTTTCAAAATCGAAGAGCTAAGTGTAGAAAACAAGAAAATCAACTCCATAAAGGTATGCTTCAGATACAAGGAACACTTGCTATTATAATTAAAAGAGAAGTGGGTGAATATTGTTAATACAAAGATAGAAAAAAAGTTAAAATAATGGTTGTCCTTGATTTCAGAGATTTCTCTAGAAACAGTCAAAGTCCTAAAGTTTGTGAGTCAATTATATTTATTTTAATCATGACAGCAGTTTAGAAAGATAACAGTCAAATTCCAATAGTATCTATCTTGATATCATTTGGAACCCTAGAAAACAACACTAGAAATATTAATCTGATAGTATTGTGTTTTGTTCTGTTCTTTACAGGTGTTCTTATAGGGGCTGCTAGCCAATTTGAAGCTTGTAGAGTTGCACCCTATGTTAATGTAGGTGCTTTAAGGATGCCATTTCAGCAGGTAAGTATAGCTGGAGTGTAAGCTGTTTTCAAATGTAAAAATACCTGGATGTTTGCTTGGAGTATTGAATATCCCCTATGAGCCCTGTGTTCATACAGTTGAAGAATTGATTTCAAGGTGATATAGTGGACCTTTTCCCCTTTAAAAACCTATATAATGTCATGGTCCTGAATGCTTATTCTTTTCTGTTTTCATAGAAACCCCTCAGGGTCTTGAGGGCAGTAAATGGTCCTTTAAAAAATGCACTAAAGATTGCACTTGGGGAGAGGAAGGAAATGCCTTTTGATTAAGATTTTTGTCAAATCCAATACAGAGTATATAGTCCTAAGGTATTTATCAGGCAGCCCTCTATTTTTTGAGGTATTTTCTATCTCTTGGTCACACTAAATGTCTCTAGCCAAAGAAAAATAAACAAAAAACAACTATACCCACCTCAGACTTGCTTTTACAAAGCTATCACTGCAAACAAAGCTTCATATATGATGAAGAGGGAAGAGTTGGTCTTCCCAGAGCTGCCCTGTCTCTGCAATCTCTTTCTTAGCCTTTAAGAGTACATTTTTAAAAGAACAGCCTGAAGCAATGATTTCATTCTGGGAAATCCCAGTGCTCTGAACTCCCCTGCTTTCCAAGCCTAAAGGCAAAATTCTTTCCCAACCAGCACCTGACCTTCCCCATCCTTAGCTAGGACCCCTGCTTGGCACAACTGTGATGTTTTGAATTAGTTCTGTCACCAGTACCCTCAACTAGGAAGACACCTGGGCATGCCTATATATTGAGAGGAAGTGGTAGGGAGATGTTAGCTCTCTTGGCACCACAGGATTTTGGTATCCTGAAGTAGGAGTTTTGAAATAAGAGAGAATTTTTGGTGAAAGAGGAAAGGAAAGACTTAAAAGGAAGCTGGTACTACTCAGAAAGTGGAGATCTTCAGGTCAGCAGAACCACACCACCTGGAAGACTGTTAGAAATTCAGAGCCTCGGGATCCAACCTAGAACTTCTGATTCAGAATTTGCATTTTAAAAAGATCCCTAGATAATCCTTATGGTGGTGAAAGTAGGGGTACTGCTGGCTCACAACTGTGCCAATCGTGAAGATTCAATTTTATTCCAGTAAGTCACCTAGAGAAGTTCTGCTTAGCGGTCTTCAGTGCTTTCGTAGTGGCCAAAGAGATGTATGGCAGAGTAGGGAGAGAGAGGTAATGGCCCTCACTGAGCCTTTTAAACATACTATTGTGATTTTTGAGGTGAGTGATGTTTTAACACTGTACTCGGTCACTCACTCGCCCTGGTCTCGAGGGGGCGGCACATTTCTGCAGAGAGGTGTGCAGGCCCGAGGAAATAAGCCCAAGCTGAAGGAGTTAGGAGAACCCGTGGGCACTGGAATATCCGTGTGGCCCTCCAGGTTCAGCAACAGCCTGAGAAATTCACCCTCCAGATGAGTTGCTCAGCCAAACGCCCCTTCCTTGTTCCCCTGCCCCAACCTTTCCCCTGGCCAAGCTGGACGCCGTTAATGCTCTGTTTCTATTCTGTTGTCACCCTAGGATAGTCATTGCAACGTGACGCCCTTGTCCTTTCAGGTTCAGGCGCAGCTGCAGCTGGACAGCGCCGTGGCGCACGCGCACCACCACCTGCATCCGCACCTGGCCGCGCACGCGCCCTATATGATGTTCCCGGCGCCGCCCTTCGGC